GCCCCTTCCAGCCCCAAATCCGCCCCTTCCAGCCCCAAACTGCTCCCACTGCCCCAGCCCCAAATCCGCCCCTTCCAGCCCCAAACTGCTCCCACTGCCGCAAACCCACTGCACCAGTCCCAAATCTGTCCCTTCCAGCCCCAAACTGCTCCCACTGCTGCAGATCCACTGCACCAGTCCCAAATCCGCCCCTTCCAGTTTCAAAGCTGCCCCTTCCAACCCCAAATCTGCCCCTTCCAGTTCCAAAGCTGCTCCCACTGCCACAAATCCAGTCCACCGCTCCCAAATCCGCCCCTTCCAGCCCCAAATCTGCCCCTTCCAGCCCCAAAGCTGCTCCCACTGCTGCAAATTCACTCCACCAGTCCCAAATCCGCCCCTTCCAGTTCCAAAGCTGCTCCTTCCAACCCCAAATCTGCTCCCACTGCCACAAATCCACTGCACCAGTCCCAAATCTGCCCTTTCCAGACCCAAATCTGCTCCCACTGCCACAAATCCGCTCCACTAGTTCCAAATCCGCCCCTTCCAGCCCCAAAGCTACTCCCACTGCCACAAATCCAGCCCACCACTCCCAAATCTGCCCCTTCCAGCCCCAAGGGGGTCACACACATGATTAGAGGAGGATCCTCCTGTGTGTCCAGTGCTCACAGTAAAAGAATCTCTGCCCGCTAATGCTCACAACTTGAGCCTGAGGGGTTTCTTATTTGCTGATTTGTGGTAACACCAGCACCTTTTCCATACAAGAGGTGTCTCTGGAAAGTCTTCTCCTGACGTTGGTGGCACAAGCTCATCCTTCTTGTTCTTGCACTTTATTTTTTATTGCACTCTGCTCTTTCTTGCCAAAGTCTACCCCCTAGTCCCAAATCCACATGCTTAGCTCCAACCTCGCCCTTTCCAGCCTGAAATCCACCCCCCCAGTCCCAAATCTCTACCCAATCTACCACCAAAACTACCCCCAGTGCCAAATCCACACCCCAGCCCCAAATCTGCACCCCCTAGCCTCAAATCCTCCCCCTTCAGAACCAAATGCACCCTCCAGCCCCAAATCTGCACCCCACAGCCTCAAATCCAGCCCCCTCAGAC